TCAGGTCTTATATTGGACGAGCCTCATTTCTTTTATTTCTACCGGGATCTCATTACAAAGTTGGGGAGTCGGTTTCCTTTTACCGACTTTCAAACGGCCGTGATCCGCCGACTTAGGGTTGCACCCTCGCAGCTCCACCCGAATTCGTGGGCTTTTATTCAGGGTTTTGAGCAAGTGTGTGCCTACCTTTGCCTGCCTTGTACAGTTTCTCTCTTCTTCTTTTTATTTGATGTATATACCGCCCGGACTGGTGCCGAGGCTAAGGAAAAGAAGGGGTGGGTAACCCTTCGAGGTACTCCAGGTAGGGGTATTTTTATTTCTTACTCCCAATCCTTCAAAGGCTTTAAGGATGCCTATTTTAAGGTGGCATCTCGTCTTGACTCTCTTCCCTGGTTCGCCGACAAGTGGCTGAATGATAGGGATATATCATCTCGCTTTGAATTGTACTGGACGCAAAAACATTATCAAAGGCATCCCAAGGACTATGCTACCCCCTTAGCGGCTCTTTCTAGCTCGGAAATTTTGGCAGTCAGAGTTCTGATCAAATATGCCGATGAGTTCGACATTATCGATCTAAGTCGGATTGTAGATAAGTTGGGGAAGATGCCCTTTGTGAGCTCGGTATGTGGTTTATTTTTATGGCTTAACTTTCCCATAATTTATAACCTGTATTCTGATCTTCGTATATTTTGCAGTCAGTAAGACCAGTGCCGAGTACAAGAAGTTTCTACCCAAGCTCAAAAAGTCCTCAAAGGGAAAAGCAAAAGAGGTTGCCTCCCTCGAGTCGGAGGTCCCAAAGAAAAGGTGGCTTGACTCTATACTCGGTGGCAGCTCGGCGGGTGCTGAGGTGGTCATGGTTGATCTTCCAACTCCTCCCTCTTCTCCACGCCCCCCGCCTTCGGTAGCTGCTCGTGGGGACATGATAGTTCTGGAGCCCGGGGAATTGTGGAAAGTTGGAGTTACAGACTGACTTCGGATCGCTCTGAGGCCTCCTCCGCAACTTATGGGCAGCTCCACTCTGACTTCCGACCTCAGGTCCCTGATAGCTCGCTTGGAGAAGGACTCATTGAAGGCGTCCTCTCTACTCCAATCCTTTCAGGACCTCCATCAACGACTTGATCTATCTGCTGCTTCTAACTCCTCCCTTACTATCAAGGTGAAGGAAATTTTGAAGAAGCATGACGAGCTTAGTAAGTCTAAGTCCGAGTTAGAGACGAGGGTCCAGGAGTTGTCTGTCGAGCTGGAAGAGGCGAAGAAGGCTTTGGAATCGGCCACTATTAAGCTTGACGGCTTGAGTGCCGAGAAGAAGTCCTTCTCAAAGTCTATGGCTGATAAGGATACTCAGATCCAGAAACTGCAAGCCGACTTTGATGAGGCTAAAGCTGTGGTAGTGAATGCTGCAATCCAAGCTTTTGACAATGCAATTGCTCAAGCTCAGGTTCTGAACCCTGGCCTCATCACTGATGGCATGGATGTCGCATATAACGTGAAGGATGGCGTCATTGTTCCTGGGACTCCGGGTTCTGACTCCGCTGATGAGGAGGTGACCGAAGCCGAGGTTCGTGAGACCGTCTCTCCACGTGCTGAAGAATGAAGGGGTCGGAATGCCGACTTTCATTATGTATTTTTGTTATGGGGCCTTCGAGCCCCTTTTTGATTTCGTCTGAACATATTCGCCGTTTTGGGTCGGCTTTAAAACTTATGCTTTAAATTTGATTTTCCGAGATCATTGCTTTACTTTCCTTTTATTTGCATATTCGAGGTTCAATTTTGATCTCGTGCTATTTAAGCTTCGACTTACGATTTGCCGAGGTTTCTCTGATCGATCTAGGATAGTTTTTTGTTCGTCAACAAAATTTTCATTCTTTTGTTTGATCGTTAAGCTCTAAGGCTTTAATTGCTTGAATAGAAATCGATATGCATTCATAATAAGATTGAGGTCACTGCTCATTTTATTTGCATTTCAAATGAAATCTATTTACAAGGCCGAACTTAAAAGCTCGTTTTATTTGCTTCGAAATAAATCTGCATATTTACTGAGCTTGAGAGCTCGTCTTATTTGTGTAGAAATTAATCTATCTACTGACTGAGCTTAAGAGCTCGTCTTATTTGCATAGAGATGAATCTATCTACTTATTATCTCGAAAGTCAGACTTCAGGCCTAGCTATAGTAGACCTTCAGCTTGTCCACGTTCCAAGTTCTCTTCACTGGCTTCTTGGAGATAGTTTCCAAGGTGTAGGCTCATTTTCCCAAGTTTTCCTTAACTTTGTAAGGGTCTTCCCAGTTTCCGGCGAGCTTTCCATCTCTGGCATTTTTATTGCCGATGTCCTCTCTCCTGAGCACCAAGTCACATTCTGAAATGACCGAGGTCTGACCTTCTTATTGAATCTTGCAGTCACCAGAAGTTTTGCCATCTTATTCTTATATCTGGCGTTCTCCCTGCTTTCATCTAGTAGGTCGAGTTCTACAGTGAGTGCTTCGATGTTTTGACTTTGAGTTCCTTGTAATCTCTGTACCCTCCTCCAAGACGGTTCGTCGATCTCTACTGGAATCATAGCCTCACACCCATATATCAGTTTGAAAGGAGTTTCCTTTGTGGCAGATTGGGCACTTGTTCTGTAACCCCACAAGACGAGGTGTAGTTGTTGTACCCAATTTCCCTTGGCATCGAACAACCTTTTCTTGAGCCTGTTGATGATCACCTTGTTAGTTGACTCGGCTTGTCCATTTGTCTGAGGATGCTCCACTGATGCGAATCGGTGTGTGACTTTGAAGTCGGCCATTAATTCTTGGAACTTCTTATCAAGGAATTGTGTCCCATTGTCTGTAATGATCTCGGCAAGAATTCCGAATCGGCTAATCAGGTTTCTTTCAAAGAATCTCTGAATCCTGACCGAGGTTATGGTGGTGAGGGGTTCAGCCTCAATCCATTTGGTGAAGTAGTCAACTGCCACTATCAACCACTTGAGCTGTCCTTCAGCTGCGGTGAACGGTCCCAACAGGTCCATCCCCCATTTGAAGAATGGCTATGGCGTCGTGATAGTTTGCAGCTCTTCATGAGGTTCATGAAGGATGGGTGTGTGTTTCTGACACTGTTCGCACCTCTTGACGTGCTCCTTTGAGTCTGCCTCCATAGTAGGCCAGTAGTATCCTGCCCTAAGTGCCTTCCTGGCTAGAGTTTTTCCTCCCATGTGATGTCCATTTATGCCTTCATGGATCTCGGCGAGCGCGTATTCAGCTTCATTTTTACTCAGGCATTTCAGCATGGGGGTATAGAAGCCCTTCTTGTAGAGCTGCCCTTCTACTATGGTGAAGCATGCCGAGTTTCTTATGAGCTTTCTCGCCTCTTGGGCCTCGTTAGGAAGGGCTCATTTTTCCAAGTAGGCCACTATTGACCTTCTCCAGTCCTCAGTCTCAGTTATCACCATAACGCAGGTCGGCTCCAGGATGCTTTGATGTATTATAGTACGATGATTTCCTGATCCCTTCGAGCTGGCGAGCTTTGACAAGATGTCTTCCCTACTATTTTCATTTCGAGGTATGTACTGGACTATCGCCTCGTCAAACTCGGCTAACAGCTCCTTGACTTGCTGGAGATACTTCATCAGGAGGGGCCCCTTAACTTGATATTTTCTTTCAACTTGTGAAGTTACCAGCTGCGAGTCACTGAGGATTTTTATCCTTTTTGCTCCGTGCTCTTTTGCCTGTGTTATTCCTGCAATGAAGGCCTCATATTCAGCTTGGTTATTTGAGGTCGGGAATGCCAGGTGAAGGGAGTGCTCGATGGACACTCCCTCCGGGCTTTCAATGATCACCCCCGCTCCGCTCCCCTTAGAGTTTGAGGATCTATCAACGTATATAGTCTAGGGGTCTTCATCTCCTTTTTCCTTTTCATTGGCTGGGGTCAACTCCAAGACGAAGTTAGCTAGTGCCTGAGACTTTATTGCCTGCCGGGGTTCATATGATATGTCGAACTCGGAGAGCTCAACGACCCAATTGATCATCCTCCCAGCTAGATCCGGCTTATGCAACACTTGTCTGATGGGCTGGTTGGTTCTCACGACTATTAGGTGCCCTTGGAAGTAAGGTCGGAGCCTCCTTGCTGTGGTAAGCAGAGCAAACGCCACCTTTTCGAGCTTCTGGTATCGGAGCTCAGGTCCTTGTAGTGTCCGACCTACGAAGTAGATCGGCTATTGTGATTTGTCTGCCTCCCTTACCAGAGCGGCGCTAATGGCTTCTTCACCCACAGAAAGGTATAAGATCAGTTTTCTCTGGGCTCTGGCTTCGACAGCACGGGTGGGGTGGCTAAGCACCTCTTGATTTCTTCGAAGGCGATTTTGCAGTCTTCTCCCCATCCGAACTCCGCCTCCTTTTTCAGGAGCTTAAAGAAAGGCAAGGCTTTTTCTGCCGACTTAGGCAAGAACCTGATTATGGCCGCAAGGTGACCTGTGAGTTGTTGAATCTCTTTCTTGTTTTCCGGTTGCTTCATCTCGAGGATGGCCTTGCATTTGTCGGGGTTGACCTCAATTCCCCGATTGGTGAGCATGAAGCCTAAAATTTTTCCCGTTGGTACTCCGAAAGCGCATTTGGCTGGGCTCAATCTGATCTTTCGAGCTCTCAGTTGCTCAAATGTTTCTCTGAGGTCGGCTATATGTGCAGTTATGTGCACTAATTTGACGATCATGTCGTCTATGTACACCTCCAGGTTCCTTCCGATTTGGTTTTGGAAGACACTGTTCATCGTCCTTTGGTAGGTCGCCCCGGCATTTTTGAGGCCTAAAGGCATGACGTTGTAGCAAAAGTTTCCTTTATCGGAGATGAATGCAGTCTTCTCGTGGTCAGCTGGGAGTAGTGGGATTTGATTATACCCAGAGTACGCGTCCATGAATGATAGTAGCTGAAACCCTGATGAACTATCAACTAACTGGTCAATGTTTGGCATCGGATACGAGTCCTTAGGGTAGACCTTATTGAGGTCGGTGTAGTCCACGCAAATTCTCTACTTCCCACTCGGCTTTTTTACCATCACAATGTTGGACAACCAAATGGTGTACTGTATTTCTCTGATGAAACCGGCCTCCAATAGCTCGTCCACATGTTCGTTCAAAGCTTGACGTTGGTCAGATCCTATCTTCCTCTTCTTTTGGGATACTGGCTTCCATCCGGGGTACATAGAGAGCTTGTGACAGCAGAAGGTTGGGTCTATTCCAGGGATCTCCGAAGCCTTCCATGCAAACACGTTGGAGTTTTCATTCAGGAAAGTGACCAACTATTTTTTGAACTCGGCCTCCAAGTCTTTTCCTACCTTGGTGTGTCCTTTATCATCCTTCCCAATATTGACGTTTTCTAGCTCTCCTTGGGGTTCTGGATGAGGTGCATGGAGCTCCTCCCTCATATCCAATTCCACCAACTTTACCTCGTTTCCGCATGGGAATACCAACTGGTCTCTGGCGGGGGTTTTACCTCCACTTGTGAGTCGTGGGAGAGATGATGGAACTCTGCGATTGACTTTCAGAGTTTCATAGTAGCACTCCCTGGATTCTTTCTGATCTCCCCTTATGGTGATGACCTCGTTCTTTCCCCCCGGCATCTTCAGTGCTTGATGCTTGGTGGAGATTAATATGTCCCAGTCATGAATTGTAGGTCGGCCAATGATCACGTTGTACGAAGAAGGAGTGTCCACTACAACGAAACAGACCCTTCCAACTCGGAAAGCATCCTTTGTTCCTAACGTCAGTTCTAGATCTATGTAACCCTTTGGAGGGGATGGCGCTCCGTTGAATCCAATTAGCTCGGTGGCACATGGTTTCAAGTCTTTTTCGTCCAAGTTCATCTTTTGGAAAGTGTTCCATAAAAGTATGTCCACGCAGCTCCCGTGATCGATGAAGATTCTTTTGACCCGACAGTTGACTAGCACTCCGGTGATCACCAGACCATCGGTGTGTCAGGGTATGACCATTTTTAGATCCTCTTGGGTAAAGAAGAGTCTTGGGAGAGCCGAGATGCGGGCTTTCCCTTTAAAGGTCGGCCTGTCCCTCACCGACATGACCTTCTTCAGGTACTTCCTCCTTGCATTGACCGTGTCGCCTCCTCCACCCAGAGCTCCGCTTATCACATTGCATTCAAATTCGGCTTCTTGAAATTCCTCATCTTTATCTTCAGCCTTTTTGCCCTTCGGAGGGCGATCTTGTTCCCGATCTTTCCTGTCCTCTCTCTTCCGGTTGCGACTTCGGCTCCGGCTTCTCTGCCTTCGCTTATTATTCTTCTTACTCTGAGTTCGGATAATGTATTGCTTCAATTTCCCTCTCTGATGTGCTTCTCAATGGCATCTCGGAGGTCCCAGCAGTCATCCGTGATGTGACCGTTCTGGTCATGGAAAGCGCGGTATTTGTTTCTGTCCAGCCCACTCTTGGCTTTGAGGGGGCGAGGTCTTTCGATATTGCGCATTTCAGTCTGAGCCACCTCTTTCCATATCCTAGACCTGGACATGTTCAAGGTCGTGTAATCATCATATCTGTTCCTTGGAGATCAGTCGTCCGACCTCTTGTCACGAGTGTCCTTTCCTTTCTTCGATCCCATCTGATCCCGGTCTTTTTTTTTCTTGCTCGGGCTCTTGCGATTCGGGCTTCGACCTCTGGATTCCCCATAAGCCTTCTGCATGTCCTCCACGTCAATGTATTTGTCCGACCTTCGTCGGAACTCCTCCAGGTCATTGACCGGGTTCTTGTAAATCAACTTTGCGGGTGGAGAATCGCCATCTAATCCCGAGATGATCAGATGCAGGTGTACTGGCTCAGTTAAATTCTGAACCTTGAGGGAAGCATCTTTAAATCTATCAAGGTATTTCCTTAATGATTTGTTCTCCTTTTGCCGGATTCTGCCCAAAGCGTAGGCCGGCATTGGATGCGCCTTACTTGTTGCGAAATTCAGCCGGAAAGTTCGGGCTAGGTCCTCGAACGAGTCAATCGAGTTCCTAGGGAGCCTGGTTATCCAAGCCATTTCCTGACCTGTCAATGTCGTCGCGAAGATTCTGGCCTTAATAGGTCCAGTTATCCCGTTGAACAACATCTCGGTCTTGAAAGCCTCTAAGTGGGCCTCCGGGTGTTAACTTCCGTCGTACGGGGGTATCTTGGCGGTATTGCCAAGTTCATGAGCCTTTCAGTGAATGGGCTATCGTTAGCCTCCTCATCAAGGAGATAATTATCTCCTTGGTTGTTGACTGGTCCTCCGCCCTCCTGGTGGTTGTCGTGGCGGGGATTCTGCATATTTCCTTCTGTCGTGGCCGCGTTTTGATGTTGCGGCCCATTAGCTTGGCCTGTGCTTCCACCTCGGCCTGCTCCCCCAGCTTAGCCTGCTCCTCCAGCTCGTCCCGCAAGGTTTTGATTTCGCAGCTCAGCCTCCAGTGCCTCTATCCTTTGGGCATTCAGTCCTTGTTGAGCCAGGAATCTGTTCTCCATCTCATGCATCCTTTGGAGGATCGCATTCATGGCCACAGTGGTTATGTCCCTGGGTTGCTCATTATGTGGAGGTGGACGCACTAGACCCGCTGTCGTGTTGGGCTGGGTTCTGGAGGGCAGTCCTTGAGTGCCGACCTCACCGACCTGGACCTCTAACAGCACATGGGTCGCGACTGATTAGAGCTGCTCCAATGCAGGTTGGTGTGGAGGCATGCCATAAGGCTGAGGCTGGGATTGATGTGGCGGCATTTGGGCAGTGCTAGACGTCGAACGGGTGTTTGTCATCGTGGAATGGGAATCGAAATTTATCGTTCTCCACAGACGGCGCCAATGTTCGGTCCTGGATAAACCATATTGCTATATCGTAAGGTATGCGCTCAGAGATAGTGTATAATCAGACATACACTAGGCTTATAGCTAGGGGTGTTCGCGGTCTGGATTGGATCGGTTTTGGAAGCAAAATTCATCCGATCCAATCCCTTCGGTTTGATCATATAATCATCCATTCGGTTTTATTTTTTTTCAAATCCGATCCGATCCAATCCAATTTTTTTCGGTTTGGATTGGATCGGTTTTCGGTTTTTTGAAAATCCTAAAATTTATTTCATGATTATTGTGCAAATAACATCTTTTGTATATATTGGCTTTGTAAAAAAAAAAATTGAAATACAAAGCATTAATAAACTATAATATAATCTTTTTAATTTTGGCAATGAGATATGAAGCTCTACAAAGATAAAATTTTGTTGATAAGATATGACTAGATTTTTTCTTGGGTTTAGTTGATGGGATAATGGGTCTTGGGTTTAGAAATTTTTAGGCTATGATTAGGGAAATAACCAAGTAGGTAGAGAGAAATTAATATATTGGATCAGTTTGGATTGGATCGATTTTCATCAACCCATCCAAAAACCGATTCAATCCAATTAAAATTTGCGGTTTTTAATCGGTTTTCGGTTTTTCGGTTTTCGGTTTATTCGGTTATCGATTTTTCGGTTCGGTCACCGCGGTTTGAATCGGTTTGGATCGGTTGATGAACACCCCTACTTATAGCCGAGGTCCCAATCACTGCACACAAGCAATAGGCTTATAGCCAAGGGGTGAGTGTGTGCACAATGTGGGCAGTATTTGTAAATAGGTTGAAAGTGTGTACCTGGGGTCCTTAGGCTTTTATTTATAAGGATCACCTTCTCAGGCTTGGGCCTTTTGAGCTTCCTAGGTTGCATTAGGGTTCAGCTCCCTTTCTGTTGGGATGTGGTCTTTATCTTGTGTACTTTGACTGTTTAATGTTGTTAGGATACTCATGAATCTATCTCTTAATAGATTCTTAGGTGAGTAGTTGGGATATGATATTCATATCTATAACAACTCTCAAAACGATATCATTTTGTGTTGAAAAATTAAAAAATTATAATGAAAAAGAATATTATACCTCTAAAATAAATTATAATTATAAAAATATTTTGATTTTCGCCTCAAAACAATATTATTTTGAGCTCAATATAAATAAATTATTTACATTGACTATAGAAAAAATAAACTCATAAAAAAATTGTGTATGAATTTTACCTTTTTTTTTTTATAAAGAGAATGGATCTCTTTCTGAGTTTTGGGGCTATCGCGCCTTACGCAATCTATCTTATCATATAGTTTTTTTTTTCTTTTTTTTTTTTTTTCTAAAATCATCCAGATATTTCTTTAACACAGACATGGGCGTTTTTCAGAAAGAAAAAAAACACTTTATATTACTATTACTATTATTTAAATAAACACAAAGCATTAACTAAGTGAGTTTTTATTAAAATTTGTAAGAGTATGTGCAAGATTTTTTTTTTATCATTCTTTTACGTATTATCATGTGACATTTTCTAATTTTTGTAATTCTTGTTCTATTTAATTTTTTTTTTCATTTATATTTTCCTTAACTTTTCATGTTTTCTAACCTTTTACTAATTTTAGAAAATAGTAATTAAAATGTATTAATTTTCAATAAATTTTTAAAAAATCATTTTAAAATATTCAGTGCTATTTTTTTACATAATTACAAAGTTTATTTTCTTTTAAGGTTCATTTTATCTAAAATTATTTTAGATAACTTTATCTAATTTTCGCCAAAACAATATCGTTTTGAAACGAAAATCATAGTATATTTGTAATTTTAATTTATTTCAAAATTATAATAGTCTTTTATCATTCTAATTTTTTAAACTTAAAACAACGTCGTTTCGGTGAACATTATACAAAATTATCTAAAATAATATTAGATATTTTTTTTGCTTTCTTTTAATGTTAATTTTACAAAATAATATTTAAATAAGTTCTCGTAGATCAATAAGTAAAACTGTGAGATATATAATGGTAAACATTACTTTGTACGATAAGAAATGGTTCATTACCATTTTGGACACCAAGTTCATTGTCAAACATCAATCATGCTGGGCTTCTAGGTTTAAGTATGAAATAATAATATCGATTCAGAGTAAAAGCCAACCATGTTGACGATTATAAGAAATGAAATTCCTTTTCAGCATTTTTTTTTTTTTTGGTTACACCTTTTCAGCATTTTTTTAACCTTAGTATGAATCAATTCAAAAAATATTGAGCATTAGGTATAACAGAATCATGTTCAAAATTTCAAATACTGCTATCAAATGAAAAGAAATGCATGAATGTAAACAAACAAGTGAGTGCTTAATCAAGACTAGAGGTTTTCAGACCAAGGGATAAGGAACATACAAAATCACTTCGACATAACTATAATAGGATCCAAATAACAAGCACCAGCTTCAATACAATAACAATCAAAACATGCTAGCTTGGGAGTAACGACTGTATCAATTCAAACCCTCCATTTACACATATCCTTTATTAACAGGCGAATCCTTCATATTCTCACAGACAGCAACATTCACATCAAAGTTCCAACATGATTTTCCAAAAAAGTCATATGCTGACTCCTCAATTCATAGTTTGACAGAGAACATTTATATATTCCCTTCAATGCTGATTAAACAAATTAACAACTTATTTACCAATATGAGTTCAAGACACTGAATTTAATCACTAAACATGTCAGACAGATTGATTACTTTACAATTTAATGTCTTCAAACTCCCAAGCATTTGTCAATATTCATTTGAAAAAGGGCTGTATTCATCAAAAAATACATTTGTGAAAAAATACATTACTTAAGCTGTCCAAAGCTTTTTTTTTTAACCATTGCCATTATGTTCCCTCACAATCCTTATTACCAGCATGTCACACCATGCTCTCTATCACAAGATGCTGATGTAAATGAACCCCTTCATTTTGAGGACTTAGAGATCCACTCAGGCAGGAGGAGTATTGCTGCATATGCCAATAAACTGTTTTCAAAATTCAAGTTGCAATTTTTTCAGTGAGAAAGAAGATGGAAAAACTAGTTATAACAGGGATCCCTTCACAACGGAGAGACAGAACTTGCTTAAAATCTTCCATTATAATATTTAAGCACAAAGCATATCACTCCTCATGCAACAATCTCACATTCATTCCAAAATTATCCTCAGAATATGGCCTATGGGTATAACAGAGGGGCTACGAGTTCCCCTATTCTCACAAAGCCAAGGACTAATTACCATTGTCCAATTGTCCACTTAGGTTAGTGCTAAGGAAAAAGAAATAAAGGAGTCAAAAGATACTGTAGATTTACAGACATTGGGTGAAAGGAACTACTAATCACCCAAAACTCGGGGGAAAAAAATCTAAAACAAAAAAGGAACAATTTGATTCATGAAACCAACTCCACTCATATTGATTCATATAAGAAACAAATCCCTAAAATCAATAACAACAAACAAAGCAGAAGAAGAAAGAAAGAAAGAAAGAATGCACGGCTGCCAGTAAATCAAGCAGCAACAAAATTAAAGGACAAAACTTGGACATCAATGATTTCCCAGCTGCAACTCAATTAGTGCCCAATAGAATATGCTGTAGTTGATAATCAAAAGGGAAAACATTGAATCCCAACTTGCTCAGTCTTATACACAAACACACAATGCAAATCTCTTGAAAAATTCATGAAGCACAACAATAAACATACATACATATAAATAAACACAAGTGTCCATCATCAGAAACACTTTCAAAAAATGATCTTATTTGAAGTGAAACTACACCTTGAGGAATGAACCAAACAGAAACAATTAAAAACATAAAAACAAAAACACCCACCTCGGATTCAATCAGATCCAATCGCACACCAACCGAATTTCCAAAACCCCACACATACCCATTAAACAAAATGCAGAAAAATAAACATTTTTATTGATAACAAGTAAAACTAAGATCCAGGAAAGACGAGGGTTAACATAACTTTACAACATATGTTTAACATAAAGATTACAATATACAAACAAACAGTGAATTTAAAGGGGAGAAGGTCACCGCGCGGTGTTATCGTAATCAAGGACTTCATTGTCGGCGAGTGAGCGAGAGTGTTGAACGATAGCGCGTCCAATGGAGTTGATCCAATCCTCCTTGTCCTTATCGGAATCAGCGAGGAAGAACATGGTGGAGTGTGGTGTTGAGAGCTCAAAGGCAGAGGGTTTGTGGAGGAGGTCCTCGGCGCCCTTGACGGTGAGGCAATTAGCGACGGAGATGACGCCGCGAGGGGTGGCGGAGCTGGTGGCGGCATCGGCGGGATCCTTGAACCAGAAAAGCTTGCCTTGTTTGAGAACGAACCAGCGGCGTCGCCATGTTTTGATGTAATCGCCTTGCTTTGTGAGCCAGCCGGAACGCTCAGGGTTCGACCAGAACTCGATGCCTTTGTAGTCTTCTGGACTCGGGTCTTGACCCGTCGCCGATCGCCATAGATTCTCCATTTTCTCTCTCTCTCTCTCTCTCTCTCTTTCTTCTCTCTCTGTGTGTGTCAGAAGAGAAGAGAAGAGACCCCAAAAAGTGTAGTGTGGTTGAGAATCTAAAAACCCAAAGTATAAGGACTAACTTGCTAATTGAGTGCGTTTTGTTTAGGTTTTAAGAATTAAATGAGTGTGTTTTATTATTGGGGTTAATATTTGTCATTGATTTACTTGCCTGTTAGATACAAATGCAATTGATTTTCAAAATTGATAATAGAATTTATATCGTTGTAAAATAATTTGACCCTTTTATTATTATTATTATTATTATTTTTTAAGAGTTCGTTTTTTCTACAGTTAATGTAGATAACTTATCTACATTAATTGAGCTCAAAATGACGTCGTTTTGAGACGAAAATCAAGATATTTTTGTAATTATAATTTATTTCAGGGTTATAATAGTCTTTTTCATTATAATTTTTTAAATTTTCAACCTAAAACAACATTCACTTTGCAAACATTAAAGTCTATATATATATATATATATATATATATATATATATAGGGGTAGGATATTGTAACAACCAAGTAGTGTTACAACCAATATTACTACCAATTAATTTCACCGTTAGATCGATTATGTGGATCTAACAGTTATATTTATTTTCATCTTTGTATGGTTATAATTTCTCGTATTTAATGAGAAAGCATTAAATATGAAAAATCATAACCATACAAAGATTTAGTAAGGATCAATTTATAAAATTAATAAATTTTAGATCAATATCTATGTATTATATAATAATATTTTCATGTTGATATAATTTATTTAAAATATATGTTTGTAATGGTGATACTTATTTTTAATTTAGTCTTTGTAAAAAAAATCAATTTAACTAGATTTTCTCATGTGTTAATTAACATAACCTATGAAGCACCGACACTTCAAAAATCCTGACGTGTCGTATCCGACACTCTCCGACTTCCCGACACTCCAATACGCGTTATAAAAATTCAAAAAAGGTTCAAAGGTTGCATTACGTTGAGTTTTTAGTTCCAACTATTAGATTTGTTGGATTATGATTACTATTTTATTAAGTTTAATATAAATATTTGGGATATCTTATGTTTTTTAGCAAAATTGATGAATATTATAAGTTTAGTTTTATTTTTTTGTTAAATTATTAAATATTAAACATAATATACACTACATAAATTAAAAAAATTATTTAATACCAAAACATGTCCTAACGTGTTGAAATCTTACATTTTTTAGAATTAACGTATTAGAGTGTCGTATCGTATCGTATCACGTATCTCGTGTCAGTAACGGTGCTATATAGAATATAACTATATCATATGAGAAGATCCTAATCAAACCAATGGTTATGGAAAATAAGAGATAAAAAACAGATTAGAGAATGACAAGATCACCGTACTCTTGACTTACCCATGAATAGTTAATATTCTTTCACATAATACGATCACGTGAACTAACACATGAAATACTATATTAGTGTATTTTTATCTTCACGTTTTACAGAATAACTCCAAATCAACATCATAGTTTATAGTGAGTGGTAATAAATAGTGATAATGAATATGAAATTATTATACATACAATAATTAAATTAAAAAAATTTCTTGCAATAATGAAATTAAAAACAAATTATTATGTATAAGGACTAGAAATAAAATTCAATAAACTTTTTTCTAGTTTTAGTATCCTTGTTCTAATTTTTATTACACAACTATCCATAATGTTTAAATTTGTGCATTTTGTCTAAATCTTTAGTTTTTGTCTCACTTGATATTTAGTCTAGTGATAAGAAATATGTTTAATGTTACATGTACATAGTATGTAAAAATCTTATATGGCATGACAATAATCTGACTTAATTTTGAAAAAGCAAATTTGGTTTAGTTTATGATAAACTTAAATTTAAAAAAATTGATGAAAAATAATTTAAATTAATAGAAATAATGTTAAAAATATTCCTGTAATTTAATCTAATGCATATTAAGTATTCTTATTATTTTGTTTCACAAAAAAAAAAAAGTATTCTTATTATTTTATAAAGTGACAATATGGACTTATAGTCTATAACACATTATTCTGAGTGTTGTAAATAATAGTTTAGAATAGTAGTATAGAAGTCACACATTATGTATATCTCTTTGTATTTTCTTTCTTTTGAGTTATATAATAGACTCTCCGTTGTGTAGTTAACACACGGATTACTTATAAATCTTCTTGTTCTTGATATTCAACATGGTATCTAGAGCCTAACAAGATCCGCATCTTTCCGGTAGACCCACTGTCTACCGAGTAAAAATCTTCCCGGAAACTGTCACCATCGTCAGTTTCCGGCCACCGTCAGTTTCCGGCCACCGTCTGCCACCACCGTCCTCCATCGGAAAAGTTTTCCGGCGACCGTTTTGATCAAAAAATACAGCAACGGACTCAGAAGAAGCCGATCTACCCAATGCCGCAAGACCCACCGTCATCAGAGGTTGCCAGCGTCGTGGACCACCATTTGACCGCCGTTGACCGCCACCACCGATCATTTTTCAAGAACTTTTTTCGGCGAGCCACCCATAGTTGTGATCGTCACAAGGAGGCAGTTCTTTTCGTCCAAGGCCCGCTCCTAAATTCCCACTGAAGCATTTCTCCTCTTTCCATTACTGTTCACGACATCTTTGTTTCAGCGAATTGTTCTTGATCCATGGCTGATTTTAGCTCATTTATCCTTCCTCAAGATATTTCTCGGCTTATGATCACTAGTTCCACTGCTACTGTTGTGCATACAGGTAATAGTGTTGCTGGTTTCACTCAAAGTTCATCATTTAGTCATTGGGTTCTTGATTCTGGTGCCTCTGATCATATTTCTGGTAATAAATCTTTGTTTTCCTCTCTTTCTACCTTTGGTTATTTGCATGTTGTCACTATGGCTAATGGTTCCCAGGTTCAGTCTCATAGGATCGGAACAGTACATCTCTTTCCCTCCATTACTATTGATAATGTGCTCTATGTCCCTGGTTCACCCTTTAATCTCCTTTCCATTAGTCGTTTAATACGTTCTCTTGATTGTCTCATTTCTTTTACCCAAAATTCTGTTGTTTTACAAGATCAAAATTCGGGGAGGACAATTGGCGGCGGATTTGAGTCCAATGGCCTTTACCTGCTCTCCAGCTCCTCTTATGCTCATTCTGTATTAGATTCTCCACTCATTGTTCATGCTCAATTGGGTCATCCTAGTCTTACAAAGCTCCAGAAGATGGTACCACGTTTGTCCAAGCTGTCTACTTTGCAATGTGAATCATGTCAATTCAGGAAACATACTCGCAGTTCTTTTCCTAATAGAGTCAATCGTCGTGCCTCCTCTCCTTTTAGTTTAGTTCACTCTGATGTTTAGGGACCCAGTCGTACTGAATCAACTCGAGGTTATAGATATTTTGTTACCTTTATTGATGATTATTCTCGAAACACTTAGTTATTTTTACTGAAAAACCGTTCTGAGTTGTTCTCCATATTTCAGAAGTTTTATCATGAAATTCTTACTCAATTTGGTATTCCTATCCGCACTTTTCGTAGTGATAATGCTCGTGAGTATCTGTCTCAACCATTTCAATCATTCATGGCATCTCACGACATTCTTCACCATACATCATGTGCGCATACCCCCCAACAAAATGGGGTTGCTGAAAGAAAAAATCGTCATCTTATTGAAACAGCTCGGACACTCTTAATTCATGGGAATGTTCTTACCAGTTTTTGGGGTGATGCTTTTCTCACCGCTTGCTATCTCATTAATCGCATGCCTTCCTCTGTCCTTGGTAACCAGGTATCGTACTTTATCTTGTTTCCTCATCAGCCTTTACATTCCTTACCCCTTCGGATTTTTGGTTTTACTTGTTTTGTCCATGAACTCGGTCCCAATCATGACAAGTTGTCTGCCAAATCCCACAAATGTGTGTTCCTCGGTTACACCCGGACACAAAAAGGTTATCGGTGTTACTCTCCCAGTCTCCATTGCTTTTTTGTCTTGGTGGATGTTACTTTCTTTGAGTCTGTGCCATTTTTTGGCTCTACCTCTGTTCCCGATGACTCTGTTGATACTCAGTTATCTTTACCCTCTGTTCCAATTCAATATGTTCCGGCACCAGATTCCACACCACCAACGCCTACTGTCACTTCTCCATATGTCCCAGCACCAGATCCTCCTCTCCAGGTTTATCACCGTCGGTCACATCCACCCATACCCCAAGACATTGATGAGGTTCCTATGGACTCAGATCTGCCGTCATCAACTCCTGCGGTTTCGGTTCCGCTCTCCGACATTGACCTACCCATTGCTCTCTGAAAAGGTACTCGTAGTATTCGTCCTCCACCCAGATATTCAATAAATATGAGTTATCATCGACTTTCTCCATCACATTTTGCTTGTCTTTCTTCTTTGTCTTCTGTATTTGTTCCTAAGACTACAGGTGAGGCATTATCCCATCCCGGATGGCGACAGGCTATGATTGACGAGATGTGTGCACTTCATGGCAGTGGTAGTCGAGATCTGGTTCCTCTTCCCTCTGGAAAATCTGTTGTTGGATGTAGATGGATATTTACTGTCAAGGTTGGTCCTGATGGGCAGGTGGATCGTCCCAAAGCACGTTTGGTGGCCAAGGGATATACTCAGGTGTTTGGTGAAGATTATGGGGATACATTTTCCCCTGTGGCAAAAATGGCGTCTGCTCGCCTTTTTATTACTATGGCTGCTATCTGTCACTGGCCCCTTTATCAATTAGATGTCAAAAATGCTTTCCTCAATGGTGATCTTGCGGAAGAAGTTTATATGGAGCAACCTCCTGGATTTGTTGCTCAGGGGGAGTCCAGTCTAGTTTGTCGACTCCGCAAATCTTTGTATGGTCTCAAACAGTCTCCACGAGCTTGGTTTGAGAGGTTTAGCACCATTGTTCAGCAGTTTGGTATGACTCGGAGTGCGGCTGATCACTCAGTCTTTTATCACCATTCAGACTCTGGATCTATTTATTTGGTGGTATATGTTGATGACATTGTCATTACAGGTGATGACCATCAAGGCATTACTCAGTTAAAACAACATCTCA